AGGTAGACTTATTAGATCAAAAGCTTTTACATAGATAGTAATAATTAAGGCAATGTACCAATGGAACAGAATGGATATTCAGAAACATAGTCACCTGACTTGTGACAAGGGTGATGTTGTGGTGCAGTGAAAGAAAGGATGGTTTTAGCAATATATAATTCAGGGTTATAGAATATACAAATAGACAAAAATATACCTTAACCCTTACCTCCTAGTGTAACTCAAAATCAACTCCAGATGTGTTGCATATTTAAATGTGAATGGTAGAGTTTTTAGAAGAAAACCAGAGCATTATCTTCATGACTTGGGCAATCTGTTTTTGTAAAAAGCTCTAAGGCATAATAGAATAAAAATTATAATAAAGCAGGCAGTATTAAGAACTTTCTACCAAATGTGAAAAGTGAAAAGACATGCCACCTTATAGGAGAAGAATATTAGCAATACATATATCTTTTTTTTTTTGGAGAGGTTTTTTGTTTGTTTGTTTTTTGTTTTTTTTTTTTGCTATAGGGCGCGTGCACTCGCCAGACAGACAGAGAGACAGAAAGCGAGAAATCACCCCCCAGGGGGGATGGTCACACCTTAATTCCTTCTCCATTCTCCTCTCAGGATCTTGGGCACGCACACACATGCGCCCAACGTGAGCCACCGGGTCCGGGACGCAAACCACGGTTGACTACATGGGAGTCCAGCGACATAGCCATTACACTAACTGCTGGTCCCAGCAATACATATATCTTGTACACATACTATTTAAAGAACATATGAAACTGGCAAAAAATTTGAATAGGCACTTCACAAAAGGGGAAATAAAAATGAATATATTGTAAGAAAAGTCATGACATGTTTTTGCAACAGATAGCACTAGTTCAATTTTGGAAGTACTTGAGTCATTCGTTTCTGTTACTGCTGTGTCATTTGGCAGTTGACAGTTCTAGCTTCATTCTTTTATTTATTAATATTTTTAGAGGGATTTTTGCTATAGGGCATGTGCACTTGCCAGAGAGACAGAGAGATGGAATGAGAGAAATCACACACACACACACACACACACACGAGGATGCCCATGCCAAAGTCCCTTCTCCTTCATTCTCCTCTCTGGATTTTGAGTATGCACACACACATGCCTGGCATGAGTTTTAAGCCACTGTGTCCATAACTCGCTGTGGTCAACTATGTGGGAATCCAGCAACATAACTATTATGCCATCTGCTGGTCCCAGTTACAGCTTCATTTTTTTAATTTAAAAACTATTTATTTAGTTTTATTTATTCATTCATTGGACCAGAGAGAGACACATAGAGAAAGAGGGTGAGAAAGCAAGTCACCAGGTCCGGGACTTAAACCATGGTCGGTCATGTGGCAGTGTCCAGCACCTTAACCATCACACTATCTGCTGGTCTCATTTAGCTTCATCCTTAAAAAAAAAGAAAAAGAGAAAGAAAGAAAGAAAGAGAAATGAACCACTTAATTGAGTTTTGGAGATTTTACAAGTTGAAGAAGGAAGACAAAGCTGCATTTTCGTCATATTTTACTATTTTGCTTTCGTAGAGGGAAGAACTCTTGCACAGCAAGCTTTTGAAAAGTTCCATAAAAGTTATGGTGACAGTGCTTTACAAGTATGTCTATTGCAATGATGGTTCATGAAATTCAAAGCTGTTTATTTTGATCTCAATGACACTCCTTGGTTAGGGAGGCCCACCAAGGATTTCTGACGACAGAATAAAGGCTTCCTCATGAACTCGAAGTTCACTTAACAACATATATAAATATCTGTGATATGCTCATTAAATATGAAGAAAATTATTCTTTTTTGAAACTACTCATAGCTGGTGATGAGAAGTTAATTGTTTGTAACAATGTGGTGCACAAATGGTCTCAGTCCCAACGTGGTGATGCGCTTCAAACAACATTGAAAGCAGACGTTCATTAGAAGAAGTTTACCTTCTCAGTGTGGTGGGATTTTAAAGGCGTCATGTTTTTCAAGCTCCTACCAAGCAATCAAACAATCAATTCGAATGTGTACTTTCGGCAGTTGGACAGCTTAAATGAACCCATTATCTAGAAACATCCAGAGCTTGTTGATCATAAATGAGTTGTGTTCTATCATGACAATCACCCATCAAAAATGATAGAGCTTGGGAACCAGCGGTTAGCATAATGGCTATGTCGCTGGACTCCCACGTAGTCGACCACGGTTCGCATCCCGGACCCTGTGGCTTAGAACTCACGCCGGGCGCGTATGCGTGCGTTCCCAAGATCCCGAGAGGAGAATGGAGAAGGGATTGCAGCATGACCATCCCCCCTGGGGGGGGATTTCTCGCTTTCTGTCTCTATGTCTCTGTCTGTCTGGCGAGCGTGTGCGCCCTATAGCGAAAACCTCAAAAAAAAAAAATGATAGAGCTTGAATGGAATGTGTTTCCACACCCACCATACCCACCTGACATTGTGCCTCAGACTTCCCCTTGTTTAACTCTCTTTAAAACTTGTGTGGTATTGGGAACCAGCAGTTAGCGTAATGGCTATGTCGCTGGACTCCCACGTAGTTGACCGCGGTTTGCATCCCGGACCCGGTGGCTTAAAACTCAGGCCGGGCGCGTGTGCGTGCGTGCCCAAGATCTTGAGAGGAGAATGGAGGAGAAGGGATTGTGGCGTGACCATCCCCCTGGGGGGTGATTTCTCGCTTTCTGTCTCTCTGTCTCTCTCTGTCTGTCTGGAGAGCGCACGCGCCCTATAGCAAAAACCTCTCTAAAAGAAAAAAAAAACTTGTATAATGTTCAATTCAGATGAGGCTATAAATCAGCAACTTGTTCACTTTTTCTCTAATAAAGACAGGTCCTTCTGTGAATGGGGAATTATGAAGATCACTGAAAGATGGCAAAAGGTTATTGAACAAAATGGGCAGTATAGCATTGATTGATCTTTGTGCTTTATATAAATAAATGACCTCCCAGGGGAAAAAAAAAACATGTCGTGACTTTTCTGGCAACCCAGTGTGTATGAATAGGTGCTCTACTTAATTTATCAGATAAGCAAATGAGATACTTTTATATAATACCTATCAGAATGACTAAAAATGAAAAAGAAATGGCAATGGTACATGAAGATGTGGATCAACAGGAACCATCATACACTACTACTGGGAGTGTAAATCTACTAAAACTAAATATATATACTCTGTAATCTGCCATTTCCACTGGTAGGTAATGCTGAATAGAAATGTATCTATATGTTCACCAAAAAACAAGTAGACAAATTTTCTTTAGCAACATTTAAATATACCTAAAAGTAGAAAAATATTCACATGCTACTTAGTATACAATAGAATGTACTCAGCAGTGAGAATGATTAAATTGTTATTACATGTAGCAGTATGAGTCTTGAAACTATACTACTTAAATTTTGTATACATTAAATGTAGAAGCATTTTTATCCCAAAACTTAAGTCTCTGGATTTTTCACTAGACCCTGAGAAGTACCATAGCAAAATTTTCATTGGGTTGGATGTTTTTGTGAGATTTACAAAAGTTATTTTAACTCTAGTCTTTTAGGACTGCTGTCTCTTTACCTTGAATTCTCCTTATCTTTGCATCACCTGATAGTAGAATGGCTTCAGGCATCTTGTGATAGGAGATACACTTAGTATGGGTTTTGTATGATACATTTGTGTTTGACAGTTGCTTCCAGGGGTAGGTAATTATTACCTTTTGGGCTTACTATGGTGGGAATGTGGTTTTTGATGCCTGGGAGTTGAAAAGTCAAAGATTAAAATTTATGAAGCCAAAAGGTAAGTCAGGAAAAAAAGTTTCCAATTTAAAATTGTAAGCATCAGAAATTTTCAGTCAAACAGAACTTTTGTAATGTCAGAAATAGTAACCGCATATTGAGTAAGTTTATTCTGTGGGCAAGAGGGACAGACAGGGAGCATTGTCAACAGAGTCATAATACATTGATCCACCTTCAGCCTTTAGCCAGCTCAACATCACAGGCAAATGTTTGTCCAGCTTGCTCAGGGAGGTGTCCAAACTTGAACCAGGAAACTTCCTATGTGAGATTGCTTCACATAATGTTACATTTTACTGTTGTGCTATTGTCTGACTTTTTTGGTAGGAACTCTGCCTTTGTTATGCATCAGTATAATTCATTCTGTTAGCTAGTATTATGCTTTCAATTGTTTTATAGTCTGACATTATTCTTTTTCAGTCATTTGCTTATCACAGTTCAGATCAAAGATTACATAGTTAAAAATTAAGTATTATATGTTAAATTGGCCTGCTTATTTTAAGTGGCATCGTAGTATGTATCTTACTGCTTGTTTTATACTTGTGACTATTAGGAATTATTTCTGCAGTACCATTCATTTTGGAAAATCGAACATTAGGAAAATTTAGAAAGCCACTATATGTAGAAAATGAAATTGTCTATACACAGCATTGCTTTTTGTAATTTATGAAGAAATACAGTGAATGCTTTTTTTAAGAAAAAATATTTAACTTTATTTATTTATTTATTTATTTATGTATTTTAATTGGACCAGAAAGGGATAGAGCAAAAGAGAGAGAGAGAGAAAGAGAGAAAGCAAGCCACCAGGTTTGGGACTCGAACTGTAATCAGCCATGTGGGAGTCCAGTGCCCTTAACCACCATGCCACCTCCACAATACAGTAAATCTTTAGATTATCTGAACTTTGACCTGATTGGACAATTTAAAAAGTCAATGCCTATAGCACTAAGGTGAAATAACAAAAAGTGGCCAGATAAATGGGAAGGCTTAGTGTCATACAGAGGCTTATTGGCACTGTAAGTTCTGAATTTACATAGTTTAGGTTTATAGAAAAAAAATCAAGATTATTTGTGTGTTTTGTGACAGATGAAAATGGATATAATATCCAATAAAAGTGATCTAAATCTGGTGAGATGTCTCAACATTATTCGAATATTATAAATATGTAACTCATTCACTAGAGAAATATACTTAAATGTGGTTATCTTAAATTCTAGGATACGAATGATGGCAAGTCCAGATAGAAGTAAACGGAAGATACTAAAAGCTAAAAAAACAATGCCTACAAGTTGCCGGAAGCAAGTAGAGATCCTGAATAAGTCAAAGAATGTTGAAGCACTGAAAACAACAGCAACTAGGAATAATGTTCTAAGTAGTAACCAGAATTTTGGTACTAGTGTCATATCTAGCAAGTGTAGAAATTCTGAAAATGTTTCATCCTCATCAGACACTTGCAAAAATTCAGTATTCTCACAGAAAAGTAAAGTATTCTCTCAGAGTTTAATACAGCCAATGGAAGAAACTGTTGATTCAGAAATAAGATTTGAATACATCAATGAACAAGTTGTGTGTCCTTGCCAAAAGCCAAGTAAAACAGATTCTCCAAAGAAAGTATTTATACAAGGGACGAAGGATTCTCGGATTACTTCACGGAACACTTCTGAAAACCATTCTAAATATCAGGCAAATATAACAAGATCGTTTTTTGATCACGAAGGGAATTATGACTTAAAATCCATTTGTTGCCCACATCTTGTATTGAGTGATGTCGTTCAAATGCCAAAGTCTACAGTAACCAATACTTTAGATGATAAGAGAATTGACAAGGTGATTTCCCATTTAGAAACAAATTCTAATACAGAGTCACATGATAAAAGGCAAAGTGATCTCATTTTAAGTTCAGACTCACATTTTGTGCCTGTTGAAGAAACACCTAAGTTGGTCAATTCAGTCAGTTCCAGCAACTGTACTACTGATTTGAAAATTGAAGACTCTAATAGAATCTGTCATTCCAGTATTTTAAATTGTAAAAGTAGAGATTCAACATGGCAGTCATCACTTGATGCTGATAGTAGTAACAGTAAGTGTGTACTTATGTATCTTTTGGAAAAAATTAGTTTTCTTTGGGGGATTCTTTTTTTAATTTTTGACATAGGATGTGTAATGCTTGCCTAAGAGAGACAGAGACAAAAGAGAGTAGGAAAGTGATAAATTACCTCCCCAGGGAGGAAGGCTATACTGCAGTTTGTTTTTCTCCATTTTCTCCTTGGGATTTTGGACTTCCAGCGTGTTTTCAAATCTCCCAAGTTCAGGACTCAAAAACTCCAAGGGGGCCATGTGGAGTCCAGCATCTTAACCACTAGGCCACCTGCTGACCCCTCCTTTGGGGAATTTTTAAAGCATCACATAGACATAAATAGAGAAAAAAGCAAATGATGACAATAATTATTTAAAATACCTGTTTCTGGATCATTCTTAGAGGAAAGGAAGAAACATATCCACCGCTCTAAAGGGATGTTAATTCTGGCAAAGAAGAATCACTTTCCTTTGAGAGTACAAAAATCGAAAGATAATTTATGGCAATTGTTTGAATCTTTTCATCTAAGTCTTTTTATTTTTTTAAGAATTACTTAATTTAGGGGCCAGCAGGTGGCATGGTTAAAGACACTTGATTCCCACATGGCTGACTGAGGTTCAAGTCCTGGACCTGGTGGCTTGCTTTCTCACTTTCTCTCTTTCTCTCTCTCTCTGGTCAAATTGAAATAAACAAATGAATAAATAAATGAAGTTAAATACAGTAATTGTTTTTTAAAAATAATTATTTAATTTAATAATATTATTCTTTTTTACATTTGACCAGAGAGAGACAGAGAGGGAAAATGAGAAAGCAAGTCTCCAGATCTGGGACCACAGTTGGCCATGTGGGAGTCCAGTGCCTTAACCACATGCCACCTGCTGGCCCTAATGTATACATCTTTTTTTATTTTGAAGTTTTATCTATTAGATTAAAAAGGAGGTTAGTTACTTGTTTTTTAAATCATTGGTTAACCCATTTTCATTTTCCCATAGACTTGACCTGTAAATCAAATCACATGCCAAGTATCCAAGTATAATGGGATAGGTAGTAGTTTATATACATACACTTGTATTGGGAGGTGGGCTACATAGAAACACACCAAGTAATTAACAAGTGGAGTTCTGGGGTTCTAAAGTCATTAAAATAGTAAAAGTAAATTATATTAGAAGAGGTATATATATTTGTTAATAAAGCAAGAAAAAACATTTTATAGGATTAATTTCGTGATCTTGTCTAGGCCGCATTGATCATTTAACGAGATGAATTTAAAAGTGTTTAAAAATAATAATATGATGACCTATTTAAAAAAATACATAGGACTACCTAAGTAACTATAAAAATAACATAGGGCCACTTAAGTAACTGTGAACAGAGGATTAAATATTGTAATTCAGTTTTTGTTGGTATATGTTTATTAAAGTTGAAGGAGGAGGGTATATCTGAGACCAGAACTCAACCTAAGATATTCTTTTTTTTTTCTTTTAAAGGAAGAAACAGTTGTGGGAAGGTTTTTATGCAATTACATTTTCTCAAAAAAACGTTATTGTCACATATTAGTTTTTATATTTGCTTAGACATTCCCTAAAGTAGAAAATTCCCGTTTCCTTCTTAAGAAGGAATATTTTCATCTCTGATCTTTCATCTCCCTAAGGCCATAATCAAAAGAAGAGGATGTTTTCAGAAAACAAAGAAAATGTTAAGCGTGTAAAAACTTCAGAGCAAATTAATGAAAATATTTGTGTAGCTTTGGAAAAGCAAACAGCATTACTGGAACAGGTAAAATATGGAGTACAAATATTTGCTTCAGAAACTTGATTAGTAAAAAATTAATGAACTGATTTCCACAATGACATAGTCAAGATAACTTTCATTGATGTAAAACTGGTTTGTGAAAACTGAATTAGCAAATTAATTAGGAACAGATAATGATTTACATTGCCAAAACAGCTTGTTTCTTGCAAAGTATCCCATGTAGAGTAACCTAGGAAACCATATATAAGTAGAATAGGCCTCTCAGTCAAAATTAGGCTTAATCTCTGTGGGTTAAATACTATATGACCTTGAGTTTTGCTCTACAATCTCTTGTACTGGTTTTGAACTTCTTTAATCTTCAGTACTGTAACTGTTTGTAGACTTCATCATAATTGACTGCCACTTCATAGATGCATATAGCCTGGCAATCCATTGCAGAGTCCTACTGCATTCAGATTTACTTGCCTTAGTTTCTAAATTTACACGGATATGCTGCATTATCTGACATTTAGCATTATAGCATCATAAAATACACTTGCTTTCATTTTTGCCCCATTTCATCTCATTGTACTAAAGCCTCCTTACATGTCTGATCAACTCTGAATTGAAATGTAATGAGGTTTAATTTTAGTGAATTACTGTAATTAGGACCTACTTTGATGATCATATTTTACAGTTTCAGTACTGTTAGAATGATACCACTAAAAGTCATCATGTGGTAGTCTCTCAGCTCTAATGGACCAAAATTCCCCAATCCAAACTATCCCAGAAACTGTTTCAGAAATATAAACACTATTGTTTTCTATAACAGACCATTATAATTATATAGTTATATAGTCTATAAATGTGTATTCACTTTATAAAGAGAAATTTTGAAAGACATATATATATATATACAGAATGAGCTTAAAAGATGAATCAACAGTTTTCCCCTTTCTTTCTCCCTGCTTTTTCAGAAAGACCATTTCGAGACACCAGTACAAAATATATAATTGTTCTATTGCTGACAGGGAAGGAGTGGTAGAATTATGGTAGCATGGATAGATCTAGCCTAAGTACAATGTTATCCAAAAAAAGGTTGGGGGTTCTCACCTCTATGTTGTTCCCAGTAGTTAGTAGTCACACCCAAGTAAGTTCTGATATGGTCATATAAGGACAAAATGTGGTCTTTGGACTTCTTGGTTTTGCTGGCTTAGAAAATCAAGTTTTTCAGGACCAACAGCTGGACTCTCATGTAGTCGACTGAGATTCAAGTCCCAGACCAGTGGCTTAAAACTTGGGCCAGGCGCACTTGCGTGTGCACCTAAAATCCTGAGAGGAGAATGGAGGAGGAGGGGATTGAGGCATAGCCATCCCCTGGGGATTGATTTCTCGCTTTCTGTCTCTTTGTCTTTCCCATGAATCTGTGTGCCTTATAGCAAAAATCTCTCTCTCAAAAAAAAAAAAAAAATAGCAAAATCAAAAATTTCAATACTGTTGTCTGCCTTATAAAATACTTGACCTAAGTTGCTTCATAGGAAATGGTCTTTTTCATTGAAGTTTAGGGAGTATAGTTTATCATTTTTATCCTTCCCTCTCAGAAATTTCTTATTCTCCAGAGACAACTTGGGTATTAGCCAATTCTTTTCTTCTGTCTCTAGTTAGCTTTCCCTCATTTGTTGTGGTAATTCCTGTTGGAACAATTCTCTCTCTAAACCACATCTGTATGCTTAAGTTGTGAATCCCAGTGAGATAGGGCTTCACATTATGACATTGTTCTTCCCCATTGAGAGAAAGCTATTGTCATTTATCTTTGAGATTTCGTAGGAGTTTGGCCTAGTTGGTTCCAGTTAAATTACTGGAGTTTAAATACAGTTATCAATGTAACTAATCCACGAATGTTACTAACACCATGAAGCATATTGGGGGATACAAATATTACTAATAAATACCTCAAATGTATCATGACAACTGTCATTAGAGAGACTATCTGGTCCGTTAAGAAAATTGCTTATAGGAGGGTACACACCAAGTGAAAAACTACAGTAATTGTTTCGATAAGGTATGGCATAGCAGACCTTTTCGTATCATTCATTGGGCATTGAGATTCATTATGACCCTGATAATGGGCCACTCTACTTTCCAAAACACAGCCAGATAATGAAATGTATTAATTTTTCATGTGATAGCCTAGTACAGTGTGTTAGAGTAGCATGTATTATGTCAAATAGCATTAGCTACCACATAATTGTCCCTGGCTTCTTTTTTAACATTAGAAAAACCACCCACTAAAATAAGGTGGAAGTAATGGTGACTATTTTGCATACCTATCAACCTTGTATCAGTCCAGCACTTGCCATCTTATGGAACTCTTTCACATATTTTTTGGTTTTTTTTTGTTTGAAAATGTTCTTTATTTTGCAGTTTTAAAATTTACATTTAATCATTATATATCTGTACAGTGTACATATTACCTTATGAACTTATAAAAAACTCCTAAGTCTCACTCATTCAACAAACATTTATTGTATTCATTTGTCCATTTATGCACAAGGAAAGTGAAGCCCAGAGAAGCTATGACTTCTCAAAGGTCATACAGCTTGTTCATTGCAAGATTAAGGCTCAAACCTGTATAATTTCTTTATCTGCTACAAACCAATGATGATTTTTATTGGGCTCTGGTTTTCTGATAAGTAGGACTCCTTTTTATGGAATACTAACTTGCAGTTATGGTTATTTAAAAATATCAATGAGATATCCTTTTTTGAGACAGAGACAGATTTTTGCTATAGGGCATGTGTGCTCTCCGGAGAGATAGAGACAGAACATGAGAAATCACCCCCCAGTGGGGATGGCCATGCCTCAGTCCTTTCTCCTCCATTCTCTTCTTGGGATCGTGGGCATGTACACACATGCCCTCAGCATGAGTTTTAAGTTGTCAAGTCCAGTACTCAAACTACAGTCAACTACAGGAGAGTCCAATGACATAACCATTACACTATCTGCTAGTCCTAAGATATCATCATTTAATTGTTCTGTAGTATATGTTAAAGAATTCAACTAGAATTATAAGAAATTAAAATTAGTACTATGGAAATAAATTTAACTTCAAATATCTATATATTTAAATATTAGGTGTGTTCTCTTGAGTTTAATATTCAAGTTTCATAAAATATATTGGTATAGCAATACAAATATGACATGCAAATATAAATAAGGTATATTTTATTGGTTATAGTAAATCCAGAAAGGAGCAAAAATAATTTTAAGGAGAAAATAAAATTGCTTTAAAATTTGAAATGTGGGGTTTTTGGTTTTTATTTTAAAATTCTAGGTCAAACGTTTGATTCGACAGGAGGTCGATAGTGTAAATTACAAACTATTTGATAACAAACTGAAAGAATTGAATGAACGCATTGGGAAGACACAGTGCAGGAATAAACATGAAGCAATAGCTGATGAACTCTTTGTAAGTTTCTGATCTCATTTGATTTTGTTTTGAATTCTTTTCAAAAGTAGAATTTGATTGTAGCTTACATATTAGGAAAGGAAAACAATGAAGGAGGACCCTAATCTGATTCTTAGCCACAAGCCTAATATTAGACTGTACCATAGACAATAGAACTTGTTATAGTTATCTCAGCAATACTGGGCTCTTTAAAAATACTCTTAGAATTATCAGGCATTCTGTCAGTTGACAGCCTTAATACGTAAGCAATTTCTTTTTCATCTAAATGTCTCTTAATAGTGCTTATGTAGCTTTTAACTTTGGAATTTTTTGTCTTATTTTATTCCTCTAGGATTGCTTGTGGATTGGTGTTTCTACCAACCTTAATTTTAGCATGGATCAATTAGAAGTTTGATGTTTCTATCTTCCATTTTTGAATAGCATATAAATATCAAATATGATTTAAATATTTTGCTTATATAGGAATTTCTTTCTCAAGTCGATACCTAAGTTCACAAAACTGCTTTGGCAAATAATTTTCCCACCATTTCTATATATTATTAATGCTCTGGTTTAGCATTTGTTTTTCTTTTTCTCCTAGACAAAAATAGGAAAACTTCAAAGACGTATTGAAACAGTATTACTATCTCAAAGGAAATCTTTGGAAACAAAAATCTTATCCAGAGATACAGCCTGTAAGGTTGGTATGAATACACAGGAGATTTAATGACCTCGTTGACTCACATTATAAATAGCTGTGTTATAAAAAATGATAATTTTTATATATTCAATTAGTATCTTATATCTTAGATATTATATATCTTATGACAAAAGGCTAAAGGGTAATAAATTTATACTTAGCATGTTCCTGTGAATCTATCTCTGGAAGAGACAACATCCTTAGGTAGTAAAGTAAATGCCACTTAAATTTAGTATAGAGGGGATTGGTGATTACCTAGACTGTTTCTCTCCTTTACTTATTTTATTATGAAAAGTGTCAAACATGTATAGTTAAAAGAATTTTACAGTGAATATCTGTATATTCATCTATATTCTACCTTTAATATTCTATTTGGCTTATTTTTGTCATGTACCTGTTTATCTAGTCATCCCTTCATTTGCGCCTCCCCCCGCCCCAGAACCAACCTTATATTTGGTTCAAAGTACCAATATTCTATGTCAACATATACTCTGAAATGTATACTGAAATGTATACATGTACATTATGATACAGTATGTTTATCATTAAGTAGAGTTGAGCATCTATTTTTTGTATAAAACTTTAAAATATAATGTTCAATACATAGTTACTGATTTTATTTCTTACAATACCTTCATTAGACTTTGGTATCAGATTTACAATAGCCTCAATAAATTAATTGGGAAACTTTCCATCTCTTCTAAAAGTTAGTGTAAAATTATTACTCCCTTGGGCCAGCAGGTGGTGTGGTAGTTAAGGTGCTGGATCCCACATGGCCAACTCCACAATCTGAGTCTTGGACCCAGTGGCCTGAAAAACATGCTGGGCACATGTGTGTGCATGTTCAAAATCCCCTTTTTTTTAAAAGAGTTTTTTTTTTTTTTTTTTGCTATAGGATGTGCACATTTGTCAGAGAAAGAGACAGAGACAGAAAGCATTCGCCTCTCCTCCATTCTTTTATCAGGATTTTGGGCACGCATGTACACACATATGAGTTTCAAGCTTCTGGATCCAGAACTTGAACTGTAGTCAACCATGTGGGAGTCCAACTATGTAACCATTATGCCATCTGCTGGTCCTACTCAAAATCACAAGAGGAGAAAAAAAGAGAAGGGATTGTAGCATGGCCATCCCCTGTGTGGGGTGATTTCTCAATTTCCCTCTTTTTCTGCCTCATTCACTCTCCAGCAAGTTCATGTGTCCTCCATGGCAAGGACAAAATCTTTAAAAAAAAAAAAAAAAAAGAAGAAGAAAATTCCTTTAATAACCTTTGAAAACTGTCTCAGTGAGGAGCTTTCCTTATAGGAAAGTCTTTATTCAGTTCTCTAATAGGTATAAAGGAATTCAGATTTTTTTTCTCCGTCTTGCTTAAGTTTTCTAAAGAAGATGTTTTTATCTGTAAGGAATTGGTTCTTTTTATCTAAATTTTATTCACAAAATTCCCTTATTCTTTTAATATTTGTAGATCTGTAATGATATACTTCATTTCTCCCCCTCCCCATTTTGAATTTTGCTAGAGAGCATGTACTCTCACTATAGAAATAAGACAAAACACCACTCCAGAGAGAAGATGGCCACACCACAATCCCTTATCCTTCATTCTCCTTTGGGGATTTTGGGGTCACATGCACATGTTCCTGGTGCATTTTTCATGCTGCTGTGTCTGGTAGGACTTCACAATTGGCTATGTAGGAGGAGCTACCTTAACCATCTTGCCACTGGCTGATCCCCCATACTTCATTTCTGATATGGTTAATCTGTGTTTCTTTTTTTCTTAATCAATCTTGGTGGAGTTTTTAAAGTTTTGTTAATTCTGTTAGTTGTCTCTTTTATATTAATTTCTCTTTTTTATTTCCTTTCTTTTACTTATTTTGGATATCATTTTTCTTTTTTTGGCTTCTTATGAGAGAAAAAGTATAATTTAAAAAATCTTTTGGTCTGATAGAAAACATTGAAAGCTAAATTTCTGTTTTTTTTTTTAGGAAGAATTTTTCTTTTATTGTCAGAGGATGTATATGTTCACCAGAAAGGGAAGGGAGAGGGAGAGAAAGCACTCCTCCTTCCCTTCCAGTGGGACACAGCCACACCGCTGTCCTTTACTTCCATCTCTTCATCCTGTCAGGATTTTGGGCATGCATGCACACCCAGTATGTTTTTCAAGCCACTTGGATTTGAATCGTGGTCAGCTATGTGGGACTCAGCATATAATGCACAGTGCTTTAACCACTGCAATGTGAGGCTGGCTCAAAGCTAAAATTCCTTCTAACTACTTTTTCTAAGCACCATCTTAGTGTTGACATCATTGCACTTTTTAAAATTTTATATATATGTGTATATATATATATATATATAAACATATACATGTGTTATGTTTTTGTTTTCCATTAGTTTAAAGTAATTTCTGATTCCCCTGTGGAAAATTATCCTTTGATCCATGGATTATTTAGGAAAGTGTGTTTAGTTGCCAAATATTTGTAAATTTTTAGTTTGTTATTTTTATTGATATCTAGTTTAATATTTTAGTCAGAGAACATACTATATAAAATTCACATCTTGAGAGTTATTGACACTTAGATTTTAGGCCAGCATATAATTTTACTTGGCCACATTTAGTAAATAAAATGGTGGCTGGAATGTTCTATACATGCTACTTTCATGTTAATTGTGCCAAGGTGATTGGTAGTACCACAGACCTTCCTTAGCTGTGGTAGACTGAATAATAGCCCTCAAAAGATGGCTATCACTTAATCCCTAGAATTTGTAAATACGTCACCTTATACGGTAAAAGAGGCTTTGTTGTTGTGATAAATTATACTGATATGAGACATTATTCTGGATTATCAGGGTAGCCTCAATGTAATCACAAGTTTCCCCTTATAAAAATGAAAAAAGAAAGAAAAGGAGGCAAGAAGGTAAAAGCAAAAGGAGATGCAGAGGTTGGAATTATATGCATTGAAGTCGGAAGAAGGGGCCTCGAGCCAAGGAATGCAGGCTATCTCTAAAAACTAGAAAAAAAATTCTCCAGAAAGAATACCAAATATCTGGCTTAATGAAACTGATTTAAAACTTTTTTTTTTATATTTTCTTTTTTTCTTTCTTTTTTTTTTTTTTTTTTTTTTTGAG